TAATTTTAAAGGTTCCAATTTAAACAATCCTGTACAACCACTACCAGTTGATATGGTTGCCTTTCCGAGCACAAGCACGCGACCCATTGCTGATTAGACTTTACTGAAGAGGAAGCTATACAAAATGACAAGTCAGTACGATTCGGAACAAATGCCTATCAAACCTAAATAATGAGATGACTCCAAGGACTGCCTAAAGGGAATGCAACATCGATCCACGCAGGGCAGATAAATTTGCGAAGGCTCAAAAAGTACAAAAAAGGCTTGACAAAGAATCGGAGCAAAGAAGTGCAAGCAAATCACGGGGAATTTGGCGCCCTCTGGGTCTTAATTGACGACATCCGCAGGTAAAAAATAAGCGATTGAGGTTGCAAACTAGTCTTTGAGAAACTAGAGAGAGGGGACCACCGCAACAGAAAACACAACTCGAAATAGCATGTTCAGAATGGGTTAAAGTAGATTTCACATCGGAATTCATCAAATGAAAAGGCAGGGTTCCGATATTTACACGCCTATCGCAAAAGGTTAAAGATGGTCTCATGTAACAAAAAGGCAGATGTCGGAGAAGGTATAAATAAACGCTGAGTCGATGAAAAAAGGAAAAAGTTAAGCCATCAACGGCCAACGATCAGTTGCATTATGAGACAGAGTATGAGTTTAGAATTTCAAAATAATTTACACGACGAAAAACGCAGGACATGGCAAATGCGATTCACAAGAAAGTGCACCGGAAGAACCTTAAACCGATCTCGAACAAAAATGCAACTCATAATGTTGATCAAAAGCACTCAATAGGAGTAATTTCAGAGCTTACAAATTCATTATGGCCAGATTGGAACAAGAAGGGGAAAAGTAGAATGTGGTGTTTTATCAGTACAGAAATGTTCTGAAAATAGGCAAATCCTGCCTTTAAAGTTATAATGAATCTTGTAGAGGACCAAAAGGGATTGAATACTATAGAACCGCATGAAAAGCGCATGCGTTAGGTAAGCGAAACGTGCCTTCTTAAATAAAGAAATAATGGTAGAACTAGCCGGAACCCCATCTCAAAGAGTATATCTGATTCAACGCAGCAAAATATGTCAAAAAAGGAAGCACTCACCTAGAAAGCTCGTAATCCGAACCCCGAACGAAATGCAACTGATCGAGTCGAACGCCAACAGACTCAAGCATTGCCTTAATAACAGTCTCATAGTAGGTGGCTCGGTGGCAGAGGATACTCCAAGGTGACTTCATGTTATCGAGATAGGCGTGAAGGTCAGCAAATAATATAGTTACTTTGGCCCCTGCATGTAACATGTCGGCAATTTTGCAAATAGGTACAAAGTAGGCCACATGAGGTTTTCCCGTTGTCGCAGTACCCCAGTACACCTCAAATACCTTCCCGTCATTATCTTGAAGTAGTGAACGCAATTCCGCATCACCAACCACCTCCTAGTTTGGGAAAAAAATTATGAAAATTGTACGAAAATCACTGAGAATACGCAGTTAACAAACACCTTTTTCGAGTGAAACGACAATATATAGGCACTGAATCACCTGTAAGTTTTGAACAACTAATGAATAACGAGTTTTTTCTTCACATATATGTGCATGCATTGCAAGGGTAATACCGGAGCAGTTTTAAAGCGACATCCAAATAAGCAGTAATTAAAACAAAATAGCATAAAAGGCTTATGTATTTTATCGCACACAAAACATTTCATTAAGCTCAAAATCTATATATGGCGATTATTGCGCTTTTTTGTAATGTTTAGTTACTTTCTACCGGATGGTATACGGTATCATGGAGGTCTGAGTACTTGGATAGAGGACCTGAAAGGCCAGTCCACGCAACTAAGAACATGAAGCAGTCCGAGGCACCGACAAGTCACACAGATACTTAAATGAACAAGATGCCATGTATATGGTCAGCGCCATTGTCCAGCGTATTTTACAACATGAAATAATTAAGCCACTACTACGCACGCGCTGAATGGAATGAATGTGCTGATTTATAAAGCTGTAGC